CTGATTGTCCATGTGGATGATATTATTCTCATCGAAAATTATACAGATTAGATGAATCGTCTGAAGACTTCTCTACCATCTACCTTTGAAATTAAGGACTTGGTTCTTTGAGGTATTTCCTTAGAATGGAGGTTGCTCGATCAAAGAAAGGAATTGTTGTCTCACAACAAAAGTATGTTCTTGATCTTCTCAAGGAAAATGAGATGAGTGAGTCTAGACTTGCAGACACTCAAATTGATCCCAATCAGAACTTGAGAAATGGGAAGGCAGGTGATCTAGTGAATATTGTTAGATATCTAAAATTGGTGAGGAAGTTGATATACTTAACACATACATGGTTATATATTGCTTTTACTGTAAGTTTGGTAAGTCAATTTTTACATTCTCCCTATGAGAAACACCCTGAAACAGTCAAATAATTCTCATATACCTAAAGGGTACACTAGGTAAGGGCTTACTAGTTCAAAAGACCACAGTAAAGAGCATAGAGATGTCCATTGATGTAGATTGGACAGTTTCATTTATTAACAGGAGATCAACTTTTGGATATTGCACCCGTGTGGGGAAACTTGGTTACATGATGAAGTAAAAAATAGAATATGATTGTAATGAGTAGTGTCAAAGCAAAATATAAGGCCATAGTTAACAGAGTATATGAGATATTATTGGTGAAAAAAGTTTTTAAAGAGGTGTGGATCTCGATAAGCATGCCAATGAAGTTATACTATGACAATAAAAAATCATAAGCATAGTAGATAATTCAATGCAACATGATCGTGCAAAGCATCTGGAGATTGAAAGACGCTTCATAAATGAAAAGATTGTTTGTGGATCTATCTGCATTCTATTTATCCTAACTGCTCAAGAAACAACAGCTATCTTCATCAAAGGACTGTTCAAACCTAGTTCTGGGGGGAGGGGTGGTGCTTGTTGGAATTTTATGAAAATTTTATTTTTAGTATCTTCTATTTTAGTGTTTTCTAATTTTAGAATTTAGAATTAATGCCGATTTTATGTTTTTTTTAATGCGGGATGCATCATTTTCTATTTATCTTGTAATCATTTTCTACAAAATTGAATTAGAGGAATAATTATTTTCTCACTTAAAAAGACTACATTTATTATATGTCCCTTAATCATTTTCAATTTGGCTGTTGATTTTTTGTCTTGGTCTTATCATATTACTAGGGTATAACAAGAGGCGCCACATGATATCTAGTAGAACATGCTATGGATACTAAAATGATTGCCTTGTTCAATCGGCATACTTAAGATTTTGTTACCTCACTTGGCATTAAAGTAGCTCCAAATTGTTGCGTTTACACCATCAGATTTCATTCTGATGGCTGCATTGATTGAGACACAACCAACTAGTTGCCAAAAGTTATACTATGTAAATTAATTAAGTCGATTATTTTACTCAGTCCATCAATTTGATTACTCTAGCATAGTGGTCTTCAGTTTTCAGGCTCATTTCTGTTCACAATGTTTTTTGCATTATCATCAACCGAAGAACCGAAGCTAGCCTTTGTCGCAATGGATGTGAGTAATGGTTTTCCCAATGACGTTCTCATTGAAGCTATTTATATGGAGCAACTATCAGATTATGTTGTTTACGGGACACTAAAAGTAGCAAACTCAACAAGGCCATTTGCGAGCTAAGCGAAGCACTGAAATTTGGTTTGATAAGTTTTGTATAGTTATTGTTAAGGGTTGTGTTCTCTTACTACAATTGATCACTCCATTTTTTGTTAGACACAATTCTTGTGGTTATATTTTCTCGATGATCTTTGTAGATGATATATAACCAGTCGAGGGTGATCTGAATAGATTTATTAAAGTAGAATAATATCTACAAAATTATATTTTGATGAAAAATTTTGGTTACCCTACATACTTTTTTTGAATATATTTTACTTGTAACAAAGAAGTTTTGTCTATAGAAATGTGCCACAAACCATATGAATACTATTTTGTTTTGTTGCAAACCTACGAACACTTTGACTGAAACTCATAAGGTTGTGAATAAATATAACTTTTTTTTCAAGATGTCTCTTCTTAACAGAGTTTAGATGATAAATTGATTTCGTTTACTGAATACCATTTATTTTCTTTGTTATATGGGTTGTGAGTCAATACTTGCAAACTCCCCAATAAAAAAATTTGAGAAATTGCTATGCATATCATTAGATATATCAAGAAGTCTCCAGGAGGATATTATATATTAAAATGAACATCAAAATGTGGAAGTTTTTGGAATGATGAGAATCTGGTCAACCGGTGATAGAAAATCTATATATGGGTGTTGTATATTAATGAAAGGTATTTGATTTTGTAGAAGAGTAAGAGTAAGAAACAAACAGTGGTAAACATTTCAAGCCCTGATGCAAAATAAGAGGTCTTGATGCACTCTACTTGTGAGATGACGTTGTAAGACTCTCTTGGTGGAATTTCATTTTCTAATTGCACGGCTTATGTTCTTAGATTGTAATAATAGTTTCCATTTACATTTTTAATAATTTTTTGTTTTATGAAGAGTGGTACACATTGAGGTTGACTTCCACTTTTGTGATATGATGCTATTAAAGATCCTTATTCATTCTGTTTTTTAGCTGAGAATAATTTGCAGACATTTACCAAGGCTTAGTCTACTTCAATTTTTCAGGTGAAAAAGTTGGAGTTGATTTATGTATATGTTCTAGCTTGCGTAGGAGTATTGGCATTAAAATATTTTTGAAAGATGGTTAATGAATTAAGTTTATTTTTTTATACATTAGTTTATAATGCATGGAGGCGTCCTCTATTGAATAATGCACAAGAAGTAAATATTCTTCTAATGGAGTAAATGTTATACAACTCTTGTATAAGAATCAGCGCTAATAGGTATGATTGTTAAAGCTTATAAGTAGAATTAACCCTTGTATACCCTATCCCTTAATAAGGATTTATTTCAAACAACATAAATTTGGTATTTTCTTACATGTCTTATGATATGAAAAGGAGTTCATCAATAATTAGGAATTTCTACAATTATGGTTCTAACTTAATGATAAAACATGAAATGAGAAGGGGATAATAGAAATACAATAAAATAAATTGTATAAATATTACTTTGATGATGGATCCCTCTTGAGCATGCCTTGTTCTTTTATTTTACTGTTGATTTCTTGCTTTTTGCTTCTTAATTCTTCCTTTTTTTTCATGCATTTTTTCTCTTTATTTGTTTCTTGCTTCCTGTCCTGCTTGTCTCTTTTGATGATCTGGCTTTTTCCCTAACAATACAGCCCTTTTCCTGACATGACTCCCTTGGCTTTTAGGCTTATGCATGGGCCCTATGTTACTCACTCTTTAGAAGATAATCCTGGGATTAAGATGTACACATGTTAGTTGTACAGGAGATGTAACTGATAGGTAATTAACAATTGGGTACTGCTCATACGTCTGAGGCAATTTCATCATTTAGAGAAGAAAAAAAAAAGCTGTTTTCTTTAAGAGCAATGCGAACTCTGAATATTGTGCTTTTGCACTAGAAATGTGTGAGGCAACATGGCTTAATGGTTATTAAGGGAACTTAAAGTTGAGTGAAAGTACACAATTGAGATGTTCAATGACGGTCAAGCAGTTATTAATATAGCTAAAAATCCCATGCACCATGAAAGAACAAACACATTGAGATTGACCGATACTTCATCTCAATAAAGGTTAATGGAGTTTTTTAGCTAAGTTATGTTCCAACAAGACTTCAGATTGTTGATATTTTCATTAAATCACAGTCAAATGTCAACCATGGTAATTTGAATTTTAAGTTTGGTTTGTATAATATATATAATCCAGCTTGAGGGGGGAGTGCAGAAAGTTTCAAATCCATGTGCTAGATTAGGAAGGAATTTATTTTCTTTGCTCAAAATATATTCAATATTTGTTTGTTTATTTTACTAGATATTTCCTATTTTTCTGTTTTTCTAATTTAATGGGATTCTTAATTTAAAAGGATTCTAGTTTCCTATTGCGCGGATTGATATGCCCACCGCTCTAATTTAATCCTTGTGCTAGATTAGGAAGGAATTTATTTGCTTTGCTCAAAATATATTTCAATATTTGTTTGTTTATTTTATTAGATGTTTCATATTTTTCTATTTTTCTAATTTAATGGGATTCTTAATTTAAAAGGATTCTAGTTTCCTGTTGTGTGGACTGATATGCCTGCCGCTCTATTATATATAGAAGGATATAGTTCATTTTTTGGGTAATCATAATCTTCAACGTGCTTCGATCCTTGATAATTTAACTTCAACATGGTTTTAGCCCTTCTTTTTTATGGTTTTAAATTTTGATGGTTTAGTTTCCAATATTGAGTTTCATTTTATGGTTTTGAATCTTGCTCTATTTTAGATTTCAGTTGATGAATATATTATAATGCACTTTTCAGCGTAGATTCTGATTCAACAAAGTTATATGTAGAATCATATCATTGCAATATTTTTTTTTACATCCAATTTTCCATTTAACATATCTGTGAGCAATGATTTCTTAGTTAGATCAAATGTGTGGATTTGATAGGCTTCATGTGAGACGTATAAGATTTTTTTCATCTAAAATATTAATCAATGATGGATTACTCTTCATAGGGGGTAATTATAATATTTCTCAAACTATTAAATTATGCTTAAATTCTTGATAAGCTTTTTCGCAAAACATATATTGTTACAACCTATAGGTTTTTTTTATAGCTTAAATTAGGCTTACTTTTTTGCCAAAATCTTTTGATAGCAATATAGTCAGATGGATTGATGGATAGATAAATACATTGATAAAAATGTCAAGCGCAGCTGTTGAATCCCAAATTGCATTCTTTTGCCAAAATGGCCAATTGTGACTTACTCAAATGGAACTGCAAGCCTTGTAACTTTAATCGCCACTGTTACATAAAGAAATTAGTTTCAAGTTTCCTTTTTATGAAGTCAAGATTCAAGCCACCCACCACTCTATATTCATTGCAGGAGGAGAAGGAAGGTTGTAATGCTCAAATAACAAATACTTTGTTGGGAGGCCTACATCATTATATAATAAGCTGGCTTTATGAATTTTCATTTTTGTTCTTTCTTGTGGAATATTGCATGGGTGATAAATTGTCATCGCAAATAGTTAATTTAGGGTGCGTTTGAGGCGGCGGTGTGGTGTCGCACCACAGTTTTTCATATTTGAAAAAATTGTGTTTTGCTTGCGCTCTAAAAAAGTTGCAGCTGAAAGTTGTGTTTCTCATTAGATCTGGCTACCTGCGGCGGCTGCTAGAAAGTTGCGGGTTGACTTTTTTCTTTAAATTTTTTTGTAATAGCCACTGCAGTTTTTTGAATAGTAGCTTCTTCTTCAGTAGCTTTACAGCTGTTTAAACAGCTGCAACTGCTTTAAACAGACCCTTAATAACAACGCTTCACCTCCTCAATAATTTCATCCATTATTATGCTCGTTCTTTTCTATTGTTAACCCTCACATTATTCAATTGCTTATTTCCTTTAACATTTATTGTTAGTTTTATTCCTTTTTTAAAATTTACTATTAATTATTCTTCTTACCTTTTTTTCGTCAATTCTTCCATCTTTCCCTTAAAAGTTCCTAACTTTTATATTGTGAATCTAATTTTAAATTTAGACAGCCTGTTCTAGATTATTTTTCACCACATTTATTTTAAAGTGCATGCGACACTAATGGTGATGATGTGTTATCATTGGTAACCCTTGCGAGGAATTTTATGTTTGAATGCAAAATTAATTTGGTGGAGGTTGTGATAGAGATTTTAGAGGGTTTGCTTATTGATATTTCACGCTGAGTGTTCGGTTGTAAATCAACTAAGTTGAGTTATGCTTTGTTCAAGATTGCTTATTTATTATCTTATCATGTTCGAGTTGAAAATGACCCAAATTTTGAATTTTGTTCAAAATTTTGCTTATTTCACATGAAAATGACCGAAATTATGAATTTTGTTTAAGCTTGATTATTAGTTTTACTATCAAGTTTTGAGCTGTAATCCAGCTTTAATTGAGCATAATTAATCATTTGTTAACATATATTTGAGAAAACTTAAAATAACTTCTCAGTTATTATTAGTGTTTTTAAAAACATTCATATCTTAATCATTAATGTCAAGCATGTTTTGTTTCAAAACTAAACATAAACAAAATTAAAAAAATAATGATAATAAATAAAAAACAATAATGATCCCAAGGAGCCCCTTAGTGTTACTCTACAGTCAACTTAACCCCTTCTCTTGGCACTTGGGACTCGTTCTTTCAAAAAATGCCTGTATTTCACTGTTTCTATATTTGATTTAAGGGGCATTTACACACAGCACACAATCCTTATGTGTTCCCATATCTCACACCTAAATTTTCATATTTTCACACACAACACTCAAATGTTTAATATCACATAAAAAATTGCACTTTTACCACTTTTCAATAGTGAAATTCACTTTTTCATGCACATGCTTTAAAAACTAAACCGCTACGTATATAAATATGAAATTTCAAGAATTGTGTGCTGGATATGTAAATTTTCCTTCTTTCTTTCTTTTTGCATCTTCACAACTAAACAAAATGGCAATACACAGACCTGACTGCAACCTTTTTTGCATCCAAATTTCAATCAGACTCTTCCTGGTCCATTCCCTTTCAAACATCTCCCTGGCTGTAATGGAGAAGTATTCCTTCATGATCCAAACAAGCAGAAGTGGAGTGTTAGATACATATTCTCAAGACGGCCTGCTCTAAGCGGCGGTTGGGGCAAATTCGCTGTAGGCAATAATCTGGAAATCGATGATGTGTGTGTTTTTGAGCTCATAGAGAGGAGAAATTTGAAGGTGCATATCTTCAGGGTCTTGGAGGATGTGAAGCCCCTGTTGCGCGTTGGGCAGGTCAAGAAGTTGGGTGTTAAAGACACTAATTAAAATTTGAAGGATTTGATTGACTATGAGTGAGTGATCTTGGCGGAAAAAAAATAAAAATTGAGTTTAATGATTTTTTATTTTTTTATTTTTATGGGTTTTTTCTTTTCTTTTCTTATGATTTGAGTGTATTTTTAGTCCAAGCAGAATTGCTTCTGCAGCAATGTTATACTTTAGATGTGTATTTAAAACCTGTCATTAATTTCATTGTTAATTGTTATTCTCTTTTTCTTCTCACATGCGTTTTTTCTTTCATGTAATTTTGCAAAATTCTGATGAATGTGATACTGAACTAAAAGTTTTAGCATAGTTGCAAACCAGTAACTTGTGCAATTTTATTTTGTTGAGTGATCTGGTATATATGTGTGTGTGTGTGTGATTTCATAAACCTCTAGTTGGACTGAATTTTTTATCCATGTTTTTGCTAGCCTTTAATGCATATGTTAGTATCCAAATTTTTGGATATAAAATTTTGCCCCAACTCAGGTTCCAGCCCTTGCATATCCTATTTGCTCTCATTGGAACATTGCCCCCGGCGGGCAACACATTTCGCCAGGTTTTAGGGGTTCTTATTGCTACCTTCACGGGGGTAACGGCTGAGACTCGCTAGTGAGGTCATTTATGTCGTGCTCTTTCCAATCTTATCGCTTTTGAGTAGGGAACCACCTCCATAGCTTTTTCCAAGTCGAGCTTCGAGATGAGTTTTGGAGGTTTCCTAAGGAGTGCGAGAAGAGGTTTTGTTGAAGAGAGGGGGAGAGAGTTTTGTTTGCTCATCTTGGAAGAGAGGCTTAAATGAATAGGTATTTTATTTGCTCATCCCAGAGGAGACACTTAAATGAGAGAGATATCTTGGAGTGCTAGTTCCGGAGGAGAGACTTAAATGAGAGGAGATTTTTGGAGTGTTCATCCCGTAGGAGAGACTTAGATGAGGGGATAATATATCTTTTTTTGTTATGTTTTGTAATCATTTATGTCATGTAACTTACCTTTTGTCTTCTTCCTCTTATCTTATTCTTCTTCTTTTTCTTCTTTTTTTTTCCCTCTATTTTGGGCTTTCTCCAACTCGGAATGTCCGTTGTTTTGTTCACAGCACGATCCACGCCTCATACCTTTTAGAATGTTGAATTCAACTTTATCCGGGAGACACACCTAAGGAATGGAGCAAGTCAAAAAGGAAGAGAGGGTAAATAGTTGAGTAATAAATAATAAAATTGTGTAACCTTTATCCTTGAAATGAACCCCCTATTTAAATGAATTGGGGGGTGTACAATTACATTACATACCCTCAGAGTAAATAGGTATGACGATGGTATTTTGGTCAGCACTTATACCCGATCTGATGGGGCCTAGAGTCGAGACGACGCCCGAGCTGATGGGGTCGGACTGGAATGAATTCCAGTCTGATGGTGTCGGGAGCTTGAAATGGCGTTGGACCGGATGAGGTTAGGAGCCAGAAATGACTTCTGGCCGGATAGATCTCGGAACTCTTGACAGTTCCTGTCGGCTCTTAAGGACCAGGCGACCGTACACTGGAGTCTTGAGAGAATAGCCTGTAGCCCGACCCAGTTGAAGAAACATTTTTAATTTCGTCCGCGTGAGTCTTGTACCGGTGGATTTTAGGAGGGTAGTTGAGTTGTATTCGTCTTGGGATTATCTTCCTCCTAAATTGTAGATGTTGACTGACTAGACATGAATTTTTGTGTTGTCCATGGTGGGTGGTCATGATCATCTCATTTGTTGGTCGTCAGATCTCTTTAATATTTCTGCTGACATATTTTTTATGTACATAAGTCTATGCTCATTATAAGGTTGTGTTTGAGGCAGCTATGTGGTGGCGGTGTAGTGCGGCACCGTACTTTGAAGCATTTGACAAAACTATGTTTCACTTGCTTTTTAAAAAAGTTATGGTGGGAAACTGCATTTTACAACCCAATCTTTAGCCAAGTGTGGTGGCTACCATAAAACTGTGGTATGAATTTTTGAATATAAAATAAATTTTTAATAGTCACCACAACTTTTTGAGTGGTAGTCTCTTCTGCAACAACTTTGCAAGTGCTTCTTCAAACAGATGTCGCTGCTCCAAATAGAACTTAAATCACCCTTGAAGCTCCTTGTTCTAATCATTTTAATTGCTAAGTTTAGGTCATTCAGTAATAGCCTAGACTTTGCCAAGATCTCTTCAATTCCTTGACACCAAATATGAACCAAGGACAATACAAAAAAGCTTCATTATTAACAAATTTGAAAGTTAGTATAATTTACGAGTATTTATTAAATCTGAGTAGTAATTCAAACATAGCGATTTCTTAATATTAGAAGTGGTCATATTCAACTCTAAAATGGTTGAGCTATGCAATTATAATTGTTAACGTGTTAGAGGCTAGAGAATAAAATCTCAGGTACATGGGGAGAATTTTGGTTGAAAACAAATTAAAAAGGTGGAAAGTTTTGTGTAGAAGTGGAAACCTAAGGAGAATGGAGATGGCTAATAGTGTTTATGCTGATTGGGTGGTTTTCTGTAGATGATGACAAGATGATGACAACTTTTAGAGCATGATTGGCTAAACTTGATCTAGGGTGTGATCCAACAAGCAATTCCACCATTTCTAAAGATGAGTTTGAATTCCATCGTCATGGAGATGAGACGAAAAAGATTGGGATTAGTAATATCTCAGACTTGAAACATTATAGTGTCACAAATCTCTCTTTTTCATCCTTTACACATGTCACACTCTTGTGCTTTGCAAGAGCTTTCCCTCTCATTTTCTATCTCTCTCTCTTTTCTCTAAGCTAACTCTTCTTTTCATCTCTTAGTTGTCTCTTTTCCTTTAACCTAATTTGAGATTTTTCTTCGGGGTTAGAATCATTCATTCTAACGAACCTCTTCACTCATAGCTTAACTCTACAACTCTTGTCTCTCCTTCAACGGCCAACATCTCTTTCTTTGATGTATCATTTATTGCCTTTCAAAAGATAATCAAATCTTAACATCAGGTATTGATATTATAGACATATAGGTTATTGATGTATTATAAAAAATATTTGATATTTTTATGAGGACATGCATATGACATAATTTTTATACATGTTTATTATGCCTGATATCTAAATTTTGTTATTTTCTTACATTTTTGTGTTATAATCACATAAAAATACATGCAAAAGAATGCACTTTCACTTGAGAAAAGTTAATGTTAGTGGTTTTTATATTATGCTAAAAATTTATATATTTTTATTTAAATAAATATTAAAATCTAGGTGTTTGATACATAAATTCATAAGAATTTTGTCTTTTGTATGTATATGGCCCCTTTGTTATAATTACAATAAATGCATCAAATTAGAACCTTTAAATGAGCTATTGCCATTTGATATTTTTCCTCCATAAATATTAAATTAAGTTAAAAATTGATGAAGCTTAGTTTATAAATAAATATTCTTTCATGGATCACAATAGATGATACAACCTCTCATATTTTACCACCCCTTCATGGTGGGTTTGGGACTCTTAGCGGCGACCTTCACTAAGACTTTACAAAA